CCTTCATTGGTGTCACCCCCCTGGTGTCACCTTCCCCTCAGTGTCCCCAGCCCTGGTGTCACCTTCCCCTCAGTGTCACCTTCATTGGTGTCACCTCCTTGGTGCCACTCTGACCTCAGTGTCACCTTCTCAGTGTCCCCAGCCCTGGTGTCACCCTCCCCTTGGTGTCACCTCCTCGGTGCCACCTTCCCCTCAGTGTCCCCAGCCCTGGTGTCATCTTCTCCTTGGTGTCACCTCCTCGGTGCCACCTTCCCCTCAGTGTCACCAGCCCTGGTGACACCTTCTCCTTGGTGCCACCTTCACTTCAGTGTCACCTTCTCAGTGTCCCCAACTGTGGTGTCACCCTCACCGTGGTGTCACCCTCACCTCAGTGTCACCTCAGTGTCCCCAACCCTGGTGTCATCTTCTCCTTGGTGTCACCTTCACTTCAGTGCCACCTTCTCAGTGTCCCCAACCCTGCTGTCACCTTCTCCTTGGTGTCATCTTCTCCTTGGTGTCACCTCCTTGGTGCCACCTTCCAAGTGTCCCCAACCCTGGTGTCACCTTCACCTCGGTGCCACCTTCTCACTGTCCCCAACCCTGGTGCCACCCCCACCTCAGTGTCACCTTAGTGTCCCCTACCCTGGTGCAATCTTCTCCCTGGTGCCACCCTCACCTCAGTGTCACCTTCTCAGTGTCCCCAGCCCTGGTGTCACCCTCACCACGGTGTCACCCTCACCTCAGTGCCACCTTCTCAGTGTCCCCAACCCTGCTGTCACCTTCTCTTTGGTGCCACTCTGACCTTGGTGTCACCTTCCCCTCAGTGTCACCTTCAGTGGTGCCACCTCCTTGGTGCCACTCTGACCTCAGTGTCACCTTCTCAGTGTCCCCAACCCTGGTGCCACCCCCACCTCAGTGTCACCTCAGTGTCACCTCAGTGTCACCTCAGTGTCCCCAACCCTGGTGCCACCCCCACCTCAGTGTCACCTTCAGTGGTGTCACCTCCTTGGTGCCACCTTCCCCGCAGTGTCACCTCAGTGTCCCCAACCCTGGTGCCACTCTGACCTCGGTGTCACCTTCAGTGGTGTCACCTCCTTTGTGTCACCTCTTCAGTGTCCCCAACCCTGGTGCCACCCCCACCTCGGTGTCACCTCAGTGTCCCCAGCCCTGGTGCCACCTTCACCTTGGTGTCACCCCCACCTCAGTGTCACCTCAGTGTCCCCAACCCTGGTGCCACCTTCTCCCTGGTGCCATCCTCACCTTGGTGCCACCCTCACCTCAGTGTCCCCAACCCTGGTGCCACCCCCACCTCAGTGTCACCTTCAGTGGTGTCACCTCCTTGGTGCCACCTTCCCCGCAGTGTCACCTCAGTGTCCCCAACCCTGGTGCCATCCTCACCTCGGTGTCACCTTCAGTGGTGTCACCTCCTTTGTGTCACCTCTTCAGTGTCCCCAGCCCTGGTGCCACCCCCACCTCGGTGTCACCTCTTCAGTGTCCCCAACCCTGGTGCCACCCTCACCTTGGTGCCACCTTCTCAGTGTCCCCAACCCTGGTGTCACCCTCACCTCGGTGTCACCTCAGTGTCCCCAACCCTGGTGCCACTTTCTCCCTGGTGCCACCCCCACCTCAGTGTCACCTCAGTGTCACCTCAGTGTCCCCAGCCCTGGTGCCACCTTCACCTTGGTGTCACCTCAGTGTCACCTCAGTGTCCCCAGCCCTGGTGCCACCTTCACCTTGGTGTCACCCTCACCTTGGTGCCACCTTCTCAGTGTCCCCAACCCTGGTGTCACCCTCACCTTGGTGCCACCTTCTCAGTGTCCCCAGCCCTGGTATCACCCTCACCTTGGTGCCACCTTCACCTTGGTGCCACCTTCTCAGTGTCCCCAGCCCTGGTGTCACCCTCACCTCGGTGTCACCTCAGTGTCCCCAGCCCTGGTGCCACCTTCACCTTGGTGCCACCCTCACCTTGGTGCCACCTTCTCAGTGTCCCCAGCCCTGGTGCCACCCTCCCCTCCCCCCCCCCCAAACCCCCACCCCCCCCCCCAAACCAAACCCCTCCCATCCCCCACCCCCGCAATGTCCCCGAATGTCCCCGAATGTCCCCAGAAGCCACCCCTGAGTCACCTCCGGCCGCTGACGTCACCATTGCGCAATTTCCATCGGATTTTGGGGCCGCTTCCCCTTTTCCCGCCAGTTTCGGGGTCACGTGACCGGGAGGGGACGGGGAGGGGATGGGGAGGGGACAAGGAGAGGACACGGCCATGGAGCTGCCGACCTTCATCGCTCTCCTTGGTGAGGCCTCTTCCTCCTCCTCCTCCTCCTCTTTTATCCCCAATTTCCCTTTTCCCTCCTCGTTTTCCCGACCCCTCCTGGTGCTCCCCGTCCCCGTTTTCCCAAATTTCCCTTTTTTTCACCCCATTTTTGTGTCCTTCATCCCAACCTCTCTTCTTCCTCTTCTTCCTCTTCTTCCTCTTCCTCCTCCTCCTCCATTCCAATTTTTCCCCCAATTTTTCCCCATTTTTCCCCATTTTTCTCAATTTTTCCCCATTTTTCCCCATAATTCCCTCCCCATTTTCCCAACTCTTCCTCCTCCTCCTCCTCCTCCTCCTCATCCCATTTTTCCCAATTTTTCCTCCCCATTTTCCCAATTTTTCCCCATTTTTCCCCATTTTCCCCCATTTTCCCTTTTCCCTCCTCGTTTTCCCGACCCTTCCTGGTCCTCCCTGTCCCATTTATCCCCAAATTTCCCTTTTTTCACCCCGTTTTTGTCTCCTTCATCCCAACTCCTTCCTCTTCCTCCTCCTCTTCTTCCCAATTTTTCCCAATTTTTCCCCATTTTCCCTCATTTTTGTGCCCATTTTCCCAACTTCTCTTCCTCCCCACCCAATTTTTCCACATTTTTCCCCATTTTTCCCCAAATTCCCTCCCCATTTTCCCAACTCTTCCTCCTCCTCTTCCTCTTCTTCCTCCCCCTTCCCATTTTCCCCAATTTTTCCCAATTTTTCCCAATTT